ACACGGTACCGATTCAAAACGCTTACATTGTTATCTCGTGTTTTTTTTTTCTTTATAGACGCAACAAAAATTAAACCAATTGAGTGATCCATAGTTCGCACCGTAATGATCGTGCCTAGCAGCGGGGCTTTGACTGCTTTTCCCTCGGCTTCAGCGTCGCATTATTGCTTTATTCACGAATGACGGTCTCCGTAGTGCCTGAAGTGTTTTGCAAAGAGACTTCAAGAAATGAAGCATATTATGCAGAGTGAAATACTTCGTCTGGTGTGCGCCCTTCCGATATTAGGAAGCCACGAGAGCTATGCACTTTTAAATCCTCTAGATTGAGAAAATAATTTCTTTACAGCTGCTTTTTGTGTTTAGTTTGTCCACCTTCCCCCGCACCTCCAATTAGCACTTGGCCATTTTTGAACACGAGTACTACTGAAGATATGATGGGCATTGTTGGCAAACGCACGCTTCGACATGTCTGGTGCAGTAGCTCGGGACTTGTAGCAAGTACGGTTCTTCCTGGTTCAGCAGTTCTACTGCTGGATTACTTTTTTCGCCTGAGGACGATCGCTTGTATTGCGATCGAAACGTCGTGATTTTTCCTTCTAGATTTGAAGTTTTCGTGACTGCAAGGATCCATATTCTTTGGTTCTTTCGGTAAAGTCACGTAGGTGATTTTTTTAATCACGACGTTTCGGGCGCACCACCAGCCTCACCATTCCTCCCGCCCCACGCAACCGCCCCCCTCTCCTTCTTATATATACACTCTTGTTTTGCAGCAGCTCTCTTGACCACTTTAGCAATTGTTGTCTTGCTGTGGTTGTCCCACCTGATGACGGGCGCTTGTGTTGCGCCCGAAACGTCGTGATTTAATTAATTTATTTTTTCGCCTACGTGACTTTACCGAAAGAACCAAAGATTACGGTTTGATCATAATTAGTACAGCCCTGATGTTAACGCACTGCTCAGTGAAGGCATTCCTATGCTGTTTAGGTGAAGGGAGTTGTTTAATTTTGCCTCACCGTGCTTTGTCAGTGCCGATTATTTTGGATATCGCGCGCCACTGATATTAGCCGTGGCAGAGATTCAAACTTGGACTCTCAGGTTAATAGTGCAGCGCGCTAATTGCCACGCGACCAATGTCCCCATGACATTAGATGCGTCGGAGCAGAATTATAATATTTAGTACTATACTTGAACAAGCCAGGCAATGGTACAACGGCCACGAATACTATCACACGGGATTAAGTCTCGGAAGCCTGTCTGTGTGCAAAAGCAACAATTGTAGTGGCTTATACTCCACTTTAGTTGGACGTGTTTTCCAAACGTCGAATATAACGTGCAAAATTGGCAGCGGGCATTTTTGTTACATATATTTTACAATGTCATGAAGAATAAACGTTTAAAGCATGCCTAAAAAATGTAATTAAACTTGGGCAGAGCCATCTATTACTTCATCGGATAGCCCCAGCTCAAGATCATTCTCGTGAAGTCCCTGGTGGATGTGTTTGTGGGATGACACAGAGCGTTGTGGTCAAGGGGGGTTGTGTGTGTGGGGGGGAGGGACGCGACGATTGGCACCGACTGCAGTTCGTGCATTCGGGTGCCGCTCTGAAAATCGCAATTGCTGCATGGGCCCGGTAAGTTGGAGAAGTTGGCGAAAACCCCACCGCTCGACTCGGAACACGCGCAGAGATGTTTGTGAAACAGCGCAGCGTCACCCCGCACTCAGCCGTGTCGGGGTCCAGACACACAACGTGGGGTGTGCGCCAAGGTAAGCAAAGGTGTGGAGGAATGTTCGGAAGCCACTGGAGCTATGCACTTTTAAATCGATTGAACACTCATTTCTGTAGCTATGCTCTTTGTGCGTTTGGTTCGTCTGTCCTTTCCCCCGCACCTCCGATGAGCGCGGTTGGCAATGTGCGGTGCGAAAGAGGTTTAAGATACCTGTCAACCCCTTATCAGTGCATACCTTATTACAGACCAATTCAAACCTTATTGATCACCCCGTGCCCTTAAGAATCTCAACGTTTAGCCTACAAAGTCCCATCACAAGGGAGAAACACAAAGACACTTGTTTGAGCCCGTATTGAATCGGCTGTAACGCCGTACGGACCTGAAAACTCAATTTCCCTGCACAAGAACACGGGGTTAAACCGTATGGGTCGACAGCTTTGGGTTTAACATTACGGTGTGCACACATGACTCTGGACCCCGCTCTGTTTGGGATCACGATGTGCCGCACCGATCGCTGCTCTCTCTTGCCGTGCGCCAAGGCGGTGGCAACTTCGCCCCGTGCGGGGTAAACTTCCGTCAAGCGCCCTGCACAGGAGAGTCGATACCTGGGTTCGGGTCCGAGACCTAGGTTATAGAATCTTGAGTTGCAGCTGTAACGTGATGATTCTGGGATCTCAAGTTTGGTGAGTTTTTATTGTGTCACCATCCGTTGCCAATGACGTAAGAAAAAACAATGAAGTTAGGCTTTTCGGTTGATTTGTATTGTTCATCTCTTAAAACGGGAAAAAAAACGCCCGCGCTCTTTGCAGGACCTTGTGAAAGCTGTATCCTCGGCGTGGCGAGAGAGGGGCTACTGAATCGACTTTATAAAGTCGATCTGCCACGGCTTCTTCCGGGACTGTTCCGGCCCTCTATGATGCACCACCCTTCATCACCGCCGCGAGGAAGTTCACAACGAACATCGCTCAAGCAAGTGACGCCGCTCACAAAAAGGAGATTGAGCCGAAAGCGGGGAAACGTAAAAAAAAAAGTTCAAGTTGAAATAACACGAACTATAACGACCAACGCGCTAGCGTTTCAGGCAGTGAGGATTCTTCAGAGCCCACAAAGGCATATGAACTTAATCAAATTTGGTAATGTTACATTGTGGCGTCTCGATTGTAAAATTTGATTAAAACATTTAAAATCACGTGTAAATGACCAAATATTTACAGCCTTTTGTCATTCGGCTGCTGGACGTTTTCATGCCATGTCAATCACAGGGGTTGTTTGACATACTTCACCAGCGTGGTTTGTGCACAGAGGGGTGGGCACAGTGCCGATTCAGATATCACTGGCCGGGAATCGAACTCGGGTGACCCTTGGTTCAAGAGTGCAGCATGCAAACTCCTGCACCACCGCTTCACACTGAGCATTATTACGTTTTGCCACTCAACGCGCATTTAAAAACAAATTTTGATCTGACCTTGAAATTCAATCTGAGTATGCAGTGGTGCAATGTGGGGGAAACGTGGTGCTGACGGCCAGTCCCTGCGAGTGAGCGGCTGCGTTACAGTCTAAACAGAATTAAATACTCCACCTGCCACACAGCGAGCGCACATTAGGGGGCGACTGGGAATACAATTCCACGTGCCGGCAAGTCGGAGCAAGCCAGTCCTGTTTAACGAGTGGGCGACATTTCAACTCGGGCGAAGCGACTGTGGTCTTTTTCAGCCTGAAATGCGCCCCCTCCCCCCGCCCCCCACCATCTGCAACTGTTGCTACGGCCAAAAGTGGACACAGAGCCCATCCGATGGAGTACTGAGGGACCGGTGGTAGACATTTAGATATCCACATCAATTTCCCATCTGAACGACCTTAGGAGCCACTGGCACTGTAGCTACCCCCCCCCCCCCCCCCCCGCTTCAATGGGTCCCGTGTCTACTCAATCACATGGCCATCGTGTAGTGTTCTTCATTGCAAGGCCCGCGGGGGCCACTGGCGGCACCCGCCCCCCGACAAAACAAAAATGTGAAATCACCCCCCATCGTGCTGTCCAACCCAATGGTTTCCCACAAGTGACAGTGTTCCAACGCGCAGAATGAAAGTAACAGCACCACATCGGTAGGTGGCAGTATACAAAAACAAATGTGTGCTTGCACAGCCCTGTAAGCCACAACGAAGAGGGATGGAGTAGGTAGGCTCGCTCGGATTGCACTATTTTGTCTTGCGGGAAGGTGTGGTGACCCTCACCCTGATGTCTTGTCCGCGAAAGTGCCCCCTACAGCCCCCCCCCCCCCTCTGAAAAAGAGGAACACTGACAGCGTAAAGCGTCAACGCGTGCATCGCCCTTCGCTCGCACAACTCACACCCCTTCGACGAGTTTCGGCTGTCGGTGCCGGTACAAATTGCGCACCAACCACTGCCCCTATCGCTCCTCCCACAGACACAGTCCATGCTTCCACCCCCCATATGAAAGACGCCGTGCCAGAACGTTGAAGCTTGCCTCTTCTTTCTTCAACTTCTCCACTCTGCTGTCCGGATATGAAACTTCCTCGCCGATGAACGCACTGTCGGCGACATCACCGATTCTAGTCTTCAGCCGAGCTCACTCTCACTCGCATACACTCTCACAACAACCGCCATTCGCCACTAAGTGGCGGTGAAGTCACCACGACGCTTGTGCCAGGCTATGTGCACCTTGAGGCCACGTGAAGTGTCGAACGCCCGCTGGCAGGTCACGGGGCAGACCCAGGTGCCACGGGTCAACTGAGATGACTGGCTGATGCACCACTTGTGCCCCCTACTGTGCCAACCTGCTGTGCTTTAGCCACCCGGCGCTCCGCTCGTTGTTGTGAGCGTCGCTCCTCCGCCCTCCGTTGTTGTTGGTGGGCGACTGCCTCCAACTGCCCAGTTGCCACACGCTCTCACACACGCACACTCTCACACAAAGATACCCCCCGTGTAGCCTTAACAGACTTTAGGGGCAAGTGCTGTTCGCGAGCACCTATAAAGGCCGGCACGGCACACGAGGGGGTGGGTGGCCAACACCACGCCCGGCCGCCTTTGTCTCCCTAGCGGCAATGTTTACACATCGCGCCGAGTAGGGGCGCACTACCGAGTCTTTGTGCTGCTGTGAACCAATGATGATGATGCCGATTAGATGTACGAATGTTCTGATTTGGCTGCTGTTCACAATCGCACCCAAAAGCAACATCAAAGCCAACCCCACCTCCGCTTCTCGCTACGACGACACGCGAAACAAACGCGACACCGGCGTTATTTAAACAAGGCAGAATTCCGTAATTTTATACAATATCCCACTTTTTTTGTACACACCTTCTTAGCATATATATATTTTTTTAAACAGTTAACCATTCCTCTCAATATTGAAAACCCTATGACGTAACTGCTTTTATGGACATTTAGTGTTTGCGGCTTTATACAGAGCATCATGGCATTGGCTATTGCGCAAATTGTTCAATTTTAATGTCACAGCTGTTGTATTGTTATCATAATAATTATAAGGGTAACGTGTGGTCGGCAACACTATACATCAGTACACGTCGAGTCGTAGACCCAATCTGTCATCTTACGCGGAATACAGCAGCGGAGAGAGCGCGCACGCAGGCGTAACACGCAGACAACGAGTGCCTGGTACATTCGGTGACTTGAGAATTTAATACCAACTCGCCCATGGCTGCCTGAACTCGGATTAATAATAACGACGACGACGATGATGATGATGACAACGACGACTGACAGGCGAGATTGCCGCGTCTTGCAAGCTGGCTTTATTGCCAAAGTGCGATAGCGGGGTTTTTTTTTTACTTTAATATCACGGCAACTTTTGAAACTTCTGCACCCCCACCCCCCCCCCAGCCGCGCCCCTCTAGACTTAAACGTGATCATGAAAATAAAAACCAAATACAGCTGAGGGAGTGTGTGTGTGTGTGTGCTTTGCATAACTGCGCCAATATCGCCACGTGAGCACACCTGTAAGCACAATGAATGTGCTTACAGTGGCGCTGCTGACTCCAGCGGACTGCATTGCAACATCGTCACCACCCGTCGGGGATGCGGCGTGCCAACCCCCATGCTGGGCCACCGACAAGGCGCGGTGCCGACCCGCTCCGTGCCCTCTCGTTCCGGGCAGATCGCCCCAAATGACCGTCCCACCCCTCCCGCCACGACCACTTGCACCCAAAACATCGTCGGCGTGACCCAATCGTCGACGCGATTTTCTTTTTTGGCTACGCGATGACGCCGCGGCTGTGGCACAAAGCACGAAGGCGAGCACGGCCTGGGGGTTTCCGCTTTAAGTGCCGACACAAAGAGAAAGTAACGGCATGACGCGTGCACGCACACACACACATATATACAGGATGTGTCTGTGTGTGCATTCGTTTGCTGCTTTAGAGATCGAGTAATCAAATCAACCATGTAATATTATCATTTTTAAGATGTTTTGCTTAAACGCAAAAGGATATGTTTCCCGTGTCCTTCATTTGCGTTAGTGACGAAGCAATGCGTCGCTTATTTTTTTAGATCGTTCCACATAATACGCGCATCTCTCTCTATATATACTTCAATACTGTGCCAATATACTTTTTCTTTTCTTATTTGGCTGCAAGCTTATTGGACACAGTGGTGCATCTAGACTATGAAACATGAGGTGGGGGGGGGAGGTGGGGGACACACCGCTTGCATTCACTCTGGCTCAAGTGTGGTGGTTTTTGATACTGGCTATTGGTGTACGCACACATCCCGAGCTCGGAGTGATGGTGGCGGTGCTTAGAACACAGCAAGGAGGGGCGGGGGGGGTGGGGCTGGTGGGCCACGCGGCTCTCAGGCAGGGCTTCACTTCAAGCCGGGTTCTGTCCGCGTGAGCGGCGACCCAGGTAAAACCGAACCCTCAGCTGGCGCGACGTTCCCGTTCCCGTTCCTCACCGTGGCCGAGGATTCTGCCCGGTCGCCGTGCCGCCCGCTCCGGCCTACCGGGCGGCATTGAAATAGTTCGGCGAGAAATTAAGCTCCGGGAGTTGGCGTGGAGGCGAGTAATACTCCCCCCCGCTTCTACCGGCACAAGCGAGCTGAGCCAGCTGTGGGGGGGCCCTCACTTGGACGTGTTTTTTTTTTCCCCCCCCCACTGGGCAATTTTGTCACCGCCAAGCCGGAACCAAATCGTCGCAACACTAACCCCACAAGACATCCGAATCTGGCTCGGGGCAAAGCAGTGCCAGGGGTGTAGGTGGGGGGAGGGGGAAGGCTAACGGCGCGGTAATTGCACGCAGTCACATCGTCCGCTTGCGTCTCCGCTAGTTACGTTGCGCGCAACGTCGACAGCACGGCTCTGCCGCTGCAGCGGGGGAAAAATGTAAAAAAAATGTACCCCCCGTGCTCGCCCTCGAACCTCTGCGGCCGCCAAAGTGTACGTCTGTCCCTCCACTCTCCTCCGTTGCATCGCAGGGACGACACCGCCACGCCCCCCGCCCCTCCACAGGGACGAACAACAACGCCGTCGCATCGAGTAGCTGCGTTTGGGGATTTCTAAGTAGTCCGTGTTGCACCGAAGTCTTAGCGGTTGCACCGCGCCGTGCGGGCGGACCGCACCTCCACGAGAAGCACGTGCTTGCGGGACAGAGCGTACAAACAAAAAAACATCGGCGACAAAAAAGGGAAATGCAACTGAAGAACAAACAAAAAAAACCCATAAGATCAACCGTCAATACGCATAGCCCTTTGCTTTGTGGGGTGGGGGGCGGGGGGTGGTGGCTGCTGCTTATTCTCAAAACGATTCGGCGAAATAAAGCGCGAGAGTTCTCTGTAGTGATCGGTGAGCGCGAGCGGCGGCGGCGATGGTGCGAGGACGCGCGGCTGCCGGCGGCCGGAGTGGTCCTCGGGGGCGGAGGAGGAGGAGGCTCGGTCCGCGTGGCGCCCCCCCCCCCCCCCCACCGCCCCCCCCCACACTTCCAGGCGTCGGTGTCGCGGCGCCAGCCCGCGTGGCTCTGGCGCGCGTTTGGTATCGGTTTCGCGTGAACGTTTCGAGCGAACATCGTTTCTTCTGTGCAGGCTTGCCGCTGTTGCTGTTGTTGGTTGTCGAGCCGTTCATTTTTTCTATCCGTCAACTTTTTGTTTAATCCGCAAGACTGCACTTCACGTGATGCGTGGGTATGTGCGCATAGGCACGCGCGTACACACAGGCACAACTCGCCACTTTGACATTTATTGGTTGCTCTACCTGCTGCGAACTTTGCGACGACACACATCTTTGTAGTTTTGAAGTTCCGTAATAATATAGTAAACGATTATTTAAAAAAATGGGACCACTTCTCCTTTAGATCGCGATGTCCAGCCAGAATCTTCGTGCTACCGTTGTTGTTGTTGTTGTTGGGTTGTTTTTGAAGACAGCCCCGATCGACAGATTTTCCATCTCTACCCTGCAGTGGGGACAAGAGCAGCCCGGCCAATTCAGCGTCGCCGACCCAAAAGTCCACCGGGACAAAAAAACCCTTTCGTGTGTACACAGCAGCGTCGTACACCGGGGGAGGTGAAAGCTCGACACCAACCCACGACAAAATAACATCGCGCACGTGGCAAAGATGACGCTCGCAGCCTTTTTGATTAGACATGCAGAAAATCTGTCCGAGCAGAAAAATTGGGACAGGCGACGCAATGCAATTGTGAAACGGTGAAGTTCCCAGTCCAACGATTTCTACCCCTGCGGTTTCTCGTCGCAAATCGTTTCCTGCGAGTAATCAACAATCAGGAAAGCGTGACGCAGACATCTTGCGGTCCCCCGTTTTTCTGAGCAGCTAAGAAATGGCACCCGCCCCCCACAGCCGGAAACTGGCTTTGACGTCCATCACCTTCACTGTCCCAAGACAATGTGCTCATGTCTGCAACGACAAAACTGAAATAAAGGGTTGAAAAAAGTGAGTGTTCGTTAATGGACGGGGTATTGTTCAGAGCGTTCCCCGCTGCTCACGCGTTCCGCTGTAGTCGAAGCAACTATTGGTTTAGTCTTCTCGTTTTTTGTTTTTTTGGCCGAACAGCAAAACGGGCGCAACCGAGCAAGTCGAACTCGCCAAGTTACTCCTCCTTCCAATTCGTTCTCGGCGATTGTTTACAGCCGTCAAATTTTTTTTTTTTTACTTTTAATTTTCTTTTTGTTGTCGTTTACCGTTGCCGCCGCCGCCATTCGAAAACATTTTCTTTTTGCGCGTAGGATCCCCGTTCGGTTCGTCCGACCAATCAGAGCAGCTCGTACTGGCGCAGGTGCATGCGCTGGATGATGTCGCGGCAGTCCTTGAAGACGCGCCCGATGTTCTCCGTGTCGACGGCGCACGTGAAGTGCGGGTAGCAGTAGTGGCGGCCGTCATCGCTCGCCGTGCTGATGCGCTGCGCGGGCAAAGCAAAAGCCACACAGGGCGTCGGCGAATGAGCACGCGAACAAGACAGACGCACGCACGCACGCACGCGAGTTGTCGCTTAACGAGCGGCGGCGTGTTCACGCTGCAGCACGTCTTCGCGACAGCGCGGTTCTCTCCCGTCAGGGAACACTCAACCGCACGACGTGGAACGCGCGCTTCCTTGCAGCGCGAAATGCGCCACGCTGCATCACGCGCCGCTATAACGCGGGCGAAGGCTAACTACTTTCTTGAGCTGCACGGCTGAGTGGTAGGACACAGTACGCGGAACGATACGGCAACGCGCCGGCGTACCCTCAGTTAGTTGTCCCGCCATTTCGCTGCGCGTGTGCGTTCACCGTATCTCGCCAAGCTTTACCGTCACAATTATTTTATGGGGAAACCGTTTCCCCTTCACGCGTTTTTCACTTCACGCGGCACTTTGCAGGAACGCATCTACCGTGTTAAATGAGGACTTACTATTCTGGATCGTTGACACAGGCATGGGGGAGTGCCTTCATCCAGCAGTGGATTGACAAAGGCCTGTGCATTGTTATTTATTGTTATAACTACGTGGGTGGGTGAAGTGGTGGGCGAAGTGGTGGCACGGCGGTTGGTGCACTGCATTGTCAACCCGACAAAAGCTGAGTTGGATTCCCAGCTCTGGCTCGCATCACCGGCGAGCAATACCTCAACAAGTCCTTCACCAACCCCCGCACTAACCAGCGTGGTGAAGTATGGGCAAACAACCCCCCGCTCGCCCCTACCCCCCTCCATGACCTACAGAGAGCATTCAAAGAGCTGTACAGATTACTTTTAGTAATTTGGTCAGAAGGCAAATTTGAGTCGACGTTTAAAAAACACCAACGGAGGCTCGGCATTATAAACTTGAAGGCGCCGCAACGACTATCATCGGTGTGGGTGCGCTTTAGGCACCGCTGACGCTCGTTAGTTCGGACTGGCGGGGGAGGGGGGAGGGGAGGCAACTTACCAGGAACTCGTCCCGGATGAAATACTTTGCTCGCGTCACTTGCGGATCTTCGCCCAATTCAGGGCTCACTGATTCAGGGGGGAGATGGACAATAACAACAAAACCTTGGTTATTATTTACGACCGTATTCTCCGTCTTATTGTTGTTTTCGATGTCATTCAACCCGCACCTACGATTAGCACGGTTGGCCATGTGCGGTGCAAAAGAAGTTCAACATACACACATACAAAGTACCGCCAAGACCCAAACAAAAACATGGGCAGGCCTTTATCCAACAGTGAATTGATCACACGCTGGACCATAAGTACTTGTAGCCTACACCGTTGCCGATGATGAGATCACTGGGTGGTTAATACGGCTCGTTATATACCTTCAAATGTTATGGTACTTTGTGTACTAGTAACAGTACAAATGTGCTCTTGGCATCACTCCATTAGATTATGAAAGCTCTGTTCAGAATTCGCAAAAACACAGTGCACCACTCTGTGTTAAGCAATAACTGCTGTTGGAATGACGTTACAGAACTACAGCCATTCCTCGTGACACCGCAACTCAACGTACGGAATTTCGCTGGAGCGTAACTTCTACATTGGGGAACGAATTCAATGCAAATCTGGTTGTCGTCTGATGATGCCGGTTGTAATTACTGACGAAACGTTGCACTCAAATTGTAAATGTTGTGGATTTGCTCTCCAACACACCGGTGTGCTGTACTAGTAACGAATTGGCATGTTCTGTTCACATGACAAACCTTACTAATTGGCTGTGTCGGGTGGTGGTGAGTTTAACGACACATTAAAACCTGTATTATGGGAAAATAGGATTCCATGCACGGAATTTAGTAACGTACCCGTTAATGTATATCGAGGGATTTTTGCCTGCACAGTCCTTATGGAGGTCCCTTCAATTGGAGGTCCCTTCAATTGCCTCCTATCGTCACTAGGTGTCGCTGCACCTCCACCCATGCCTTGAAGAGGCGTTGTCAAGCAGCAAACTGACAATTTGTTCGATCTCTGCGCTGGAATTTAATTAAATTTCGTACAATATAAGAATAGGTTTTACCCTTTCTGGCAATAAAAAAACGTGTTAAGATGTTAAAACACCAAACTGAAACTTTTTGCAAGGAAGCATGTCTGCATTAACCCCACATACTTGTGAACATGCAAACAAAAAACATGCTCTGACAGTATATGCATTGTCTTTGAAACTGATTGGTCCACACCAGAGACAGCTTTCTTTTGAGCCTAGTCTCAAACAGTGTTAGACCCATGATATGTGCAGTACGTATGTCGGACTTCTTTTGCAACGTACGTAGCCAACCGTGCTAATCAGAAGTGAGAAATTGAAGTGAAAAACTAAAATTGTAACACACCACGTGGCATTCACTCACTCTCAGAGAGAGAGACAGACAACGACTCGGAGGAGGTCCAAGGAGGAACCACGGACAAGCGGAGAAGGCAGCAGGCCGGGCAGTGAACCGATGCCATCAATTGCCCAAGCTCTGCAGTCCTCTGTCTCCCTCTATATATAAAAACGTGTTTTCGGATAATTAATGAGTGCTTTAAATGTGGGAGGAAACCGGAGGAGCCAGAAAAAAAACCTATGGGTGCCGGGGGGGGGGGGAGGAAAAAAAACACAAAAATTCCATACAGATGGGACAAAATTCTTTTAGTCCGCACTTTGGTGTACCGCCTTCTCCTGGCGAGCCCGGGCCCACAATAACCTCCTCGACGCTCACGAGAAGGGAGTTTCACAGAACATCTGTGCGGTGACTCATCAACCCCTCACCCTCACCTCCACAGTGCTGGACTACAGCCGTGTGTGCCACAGCTGCCCGGCTGTGAAACCAATGGCAACGCTTATATCTAACACCAATAACTCGCCATACCGTAAGAAACTCGCTTAACCATGTACGGCCGAAAAACCCGGATTTGAACGCTTCCTCTATAAAAAAAACAATAAACTATTTTTTATATTTTAGCAGGTGAGGCCCACTTAACTATAGATCTCTTTTTCAGAAGCGACCTGGCCACAAATGATAGCTCGATGAAGTGGCTTATCACGTGCGAATTTATAGCAGGAGCCAAATACTCTAAATGCACGTTTCTAAATGTGGAGGAAAAAACCAGAGGACCCGGGGAGAAATCCACGAGACCACGAGGAGACCGAACACGCAAACTCCAAATATACAGCAGCAGGCGTCGGGATCGAACTCGCAACCTCTTGTATACCAGGAGAGGCAGTTAACATCTCGCCACCTTGGCGCTCTAAGCTGTCCCCCGGCTTGGAGTCTGAACAATGTGACAAGCGCCCCCAGATCCACGTCCGAGGGAAATTTCAATCGTAAACCAAGTTCAAGCGGGTGCCAGTGTCGTGTGGCCTTGTGTGTACCTTCGGCTGGCGTGGTGTACCGCGCAAACTCTGGGAAGTACTTCTCGATTCGCGACTTTCCCGCCAGCACCTTCTCCGCCAGGAGGTCCTGCTTGTTGAGGAAGAGGATGATCGAGATGGTTCGGAGCCACCTGAAGAAGAAGAAGGGTGCAGGAGGACACGGCAGCACCCGTGGGGGTGGGGGTCAGAGGCCATAGTGCACGTCGAGTCAATGTCATCCGTGCGAAAGCCGAATTTCTCTCGGGACTGACCGGCGATTGTTACCCGACAACCGCGTTTATCGTCGCCATCATCGGGCCATGCACCGGCCACTGCCCGATGAAGGCCTCCCAAACTCGTCACTGTCCTTTCCGGTGATGTGTGCTGAACTTCTTTCGCTCCGTACGTAGTCAGCCGTGCTAATCGGAGGTGTGCGGGGAAAAGGATGCGCCGATCCGATCTCGCTCCTGCACACGAGCCGATTTCATCGCTCCATCTCCACACGGTGGGCGTGTTCCGTCATTCGGCTACCCTACATCCGTCGCTAGTCTCGCTCACCAGCCACCACCTGCCCTTCAAGCGACACGTCCTGCCCCGGCTCACTCACTTAACTGTCAATACGATGCATCTAATTTACATTTGTTCACCGATCTGTGCTCTCGTTTGCCTCTGCGAAGGGGAATTCCATGCCAGCACCTCCCCATGCTCCTTTGCACACTTTCAGTTCTCACTCCGATGTCTTCGTCAGTGAGCGCACGCGTACGGAATGCTAAATGCGATTCTGGGATGGAGCAGTCGCGCAACGGTTTGCCCGCTGTCCTCTGAACCCGACATTCTTGAGTTCGATTCCTGGCCATGGCTAATAGAAGTGGCGAGTGGTATCGAAACCGACGCTGGCCCCTCCACCCTTCACCAAATTACACTGACCAGCATGGTGAAGTATGGTCAAACACCCCCCGACTGACGCAATGCGGGGAGGCTTCCACCCAGAAGTAAATTGACAAGGGCTGTTAATAATTATTGAAAATATAATATGGGAAATATTTTTTATTATATGCAACGGGCAGTAAAAACTTTTCAAATGTGCCCGATAATTGATATGCAGTGCATTAGACCAAACGGTCAAATAACCGCACCGCCTCGACACATTACGGCCGAGAACTCCACAAACACAAACTGCGCGCGCGCACACACGCAGCATTTCATAAAAAGCGCCCCGACTAACTGTTAAAAAAAAAACGACAGCGAAGGTCAAATACAACGCTGTCGGCAAGATTCGCATCTTGACGAAACACATCGGGGTTCTGCAGTACGCGCGCCCCACCGTTGGCTGGCCACGAACACAAAACCCCACCGACGAATTTCTCCCACTCCCTCTGAAGAAGAGGGGGAGGAAAAAAAACACCGAGACGGACGTTGGCCAACCCCGTGGACTTGGCCCGACGTGCAACTCCGGCGCCACCGCACGCGCACACGAGGTCTTGCCGCTGGCAGAAAAACCCCAGCCCCCCCCTCCCCCCCAACCTCTCCACGGTGGGCGCGGGGGGTCCTGCTGGTGGCGATCGGCTTCCCGAATCCGCCACCGGTGTTACCTGTTGTTCCAAATACTCTTGAACAGGTTGATGGCTTCCTTGAGGCGGTTCGTGGTGTTGTCTTCGCGCAGAACCATGTTGTAGCTGCTGCAAGCGACTACGAATATGATCGCCGTAACGTCTATCGCGCGGGGGTCACGTGGAGTGCGGTGACGGCAAGGGTTTATGGCGGGGGGGGGGGGGGGGGGGGGGGGCGGGGGGACACCACGAGCGGGAGAGGACGCGTGCACGGGGGACAGGGGGTTTTGGTTACGACGCAGCGCGCGGTTTAAATACGGCACGGGCAAAAGCAAGCGGCGGCGGCGGCGGCGGCGGTGATGACGGAGGCGGCAGCAGCAGGGAGGTGCGGCGGGCGGCGGAAGAGTTCACAACGGGACGTCGCACGCGGAGGAGGAGTACAAGGTGAACACGGGGGTGCGACGCGCGAGTGGCGGAGGAATGGCAAATACGTGAATGGATGATGAACCGATCGACATAACGCCGGGCGACGGAAACACGGAAAAAAGAGTGAACGGCAACAAATGATGGGACGTGTGAGAGAACCAAGAGTGTGGAGAGTGGAATAAGGGAGGGTGGAGGATGTAAAAATGACGCGGCGGAGTGTTTTGGTGGGGGTGAAGGCGGCATAAACACGAGATGTTTTTTTTGGAGGGGGGTGGGGGGGTGGGGGGGAAGAGAAGGGGGGCAACAGAGAGAGACAAACAGAATTAGTGTCAGCGAAAGGACGGGGGGGGGGGTGGAAAAGCACAACTCAGTTACCTGTTGTTCCAGATATTGCAGAAGAGGTCAAGGGCCTCTTTTAGCCTGTTAACACTGGGGTCCTCGCGCAGTGCCATGTTATAGCCACTGCAAGCCACCACAAATATGATGGCTGTGACATCTGCATGGAGGGGGGAAATGGGGATGAAAGGGGGGGGGGGGAGGGTTGGTGTTGAAAGGAAATGGAACCTTCTGAACGCATGCTCATCTCAAAAAGACACACCAGGAACAGCGACCATCAACTGACGGCCCTTTGATGACCAACTTGTCTGTCCGCTGGGTGCGCAAAGTTGATAATGACGAGGCGTGTGGAATCCACAGCCAATGGCCAAATCGATCGGGATCGCACCGGTTTAGATCTTGGAAGCTAATCAGGATATGAATATGGATAGTGCTTTGGATGGGTGACCGACATGCACCATAGGTTTGCTTTAGGCTGTGGGGGTACGTGGTGGCCAGCAAGGGGGCAATGCAGTAAATCCCATTGTTGTACCATACTTCTATGCTTCCTCGTCTGTGCACCGTGCCTTCGCCAAACACAATTAGAACTTTGGTCAAACAACGCCTATGACCCCTGCACAATTGTGGGGTAGCCTTCATCCAGCAGAGGAACAAACAAAAGGGACTGTACAATCTCCCCGCTGCCACCTCCCCACCCAGTACAGTCCTATTGTCAATCCACTGCTGAAGAATGGACTACCAAAGCCATGTTAGTCATGGGGGTTGGTTTGACCAGATTTCACCACACCGGTCAGTGTCGGTTGCTAAATGGGTGGCCCTAAAGACCAGGTGAGATAATCACTTGCCACCGATGTTAGCCTAGGGCAAGGAATGAAACTCAGCTCGCCGGGGTTCAGAACACGACACGCTAACCGTTGCGCCACCACTCCACACCAGTAGCCATGGAGTAATTGCTCGGTTATCATTCATTACGGTTTGAGAAAGCCGTGTTCGCGAGTAGAAGCTCACCACTGGAATAAATATTTATTTTTTAAAATTTGCCTGAATATTTACAAATGTAAAAACGATTACGGGCCAAATGGATCTATGCGGGCAAAAAACAAATTCACAAATTTTACCGTCCCTATTTGTTTCAATGTACTTTGTGGGTATGCAATGATCCACAGATTAAGATCTAAATTTTGTGCGCTCACACAATATGTACACTAAATTGTCCGAGCAAGAATTAATTACTTTCTAACATGTATATTTCAAATACTATAGTTTCCACTCGACTTCCTGCAGGCACTAAAATGTATGAAATCGAATCACGATCCCTAACAGTGACTATTCAATCAGAGAGCTATGCACGTGCGAGTACACGAAAAAGCCCTTAGCATTATAACCTTTCAACTATTCTCAAAGAAATGGTCATCTTCCTACAATTCACAATATGTTGCGGACACATGAAATGCGCATGCATGTATGTATGGAGTGCAATAATTTACAGACTCTTTTCCCCAATTCCATCCTGATTGTGCTATCGACGTCACGTTGCGAGCGGAGCGTCTATTATTTTTATTTTGCAGTTAGGTTTGTTTGTCCTTCCCCCGCACCTCCGATGAGCATGGTTGGCTACGTATGGTGCGAAAGAAGTTCAACGTACATACGTGCATTCGGAACTCTCACGCAGCGGCGGCTGCATCACCTCGCGTGTTAAGAGAATGGCCCGCAGAAAAATATATCGCAGAACTAAGTCCGAGATCTCTTTAATAGAGCACCTATTTTATCCAAAAGATTAGGAGGCACTGCACTTGTCCCGCGCCAAAATGTTTTATCGCTTGGGCCCCCCGAAGCTAAAAGACTGGTCAGGGCGTTCGCTAGGCGTGCAATGATGCGCCGATTCATCCACTCAAATTGATTCACATTACTTGGGTCTTGGACGCCGTATACAATTGGGGTGTTAACATGTATGATCCCGAAGGGAACTTTAGAATAGTTTTGCTCGAGTAGCCACGAGCGGAGGGTTGTCTTACCGTTGAAACACTGGATCCACTTTCTCCTCTCATCCCGTTGACCTCCCACATCAAACATGCTGCGGAGACAGAGTTCAGTTAAAATCTCTATAAATCCATCGGTCACTCATTAGATGTAAAGTGCTTGCCACAAATGAACCACAATCCCTTGCTGATCTCGTCAACAAGCATAAACCATCACGCAAACTCCGGTCATCCTCGCAGCAGCGGCTTTCGGCTGGCCATCGAACAAAGACGGTCACCGCATCACGCGGCGCTTCCAAATGCGCTTCTGCGGCCGTCTGGAACGCTCTTCCTTCCGATATTAGGAAGCCACTGAAGCTATGCACTTTTAAATCTAGCTTGAAAACACATTTCTTTAGAACTGATTTTTGTGTTTAGTTTGTTGTCCTTTCTCCACACCGCTGATTATCACGGTTTGCTTTGTACGGTTTGCTATGTACGGTTTGCTATGTACGGTACAAAGGGTTATAGTTAACTCTCTGATATCCATTGGACAGATTACACAAGTTGCGAATTAACCTTGCTTGTGCAAATATGAATATAGCTCTTCTTTAGGAACTGAACATCCAGCCCTCTTGCAGCACGTGGAGTGAAACGTCGGACATCGTGCCAAACAACACACGGTACGGACCGGAAAAACACACTGGAGAGCTGTACAGCACAACCGCGAAAAACCATGTAGTGTAAATAAAATACCCTTACACGAGCACCGGTTATATTACTACCTACACTCGCCGCAGGTCGGCAACTCAGTGCCGACGAAACCGCAAAAACATCGGCAGGTAAATTGATTTCGTTATGAAGCAATAAAACAAGACCACGCCTTCTACTCTTCATCCCCAGCCTACGTAGGTAAACTGTCCATAATATAGCTTTTTTTTGGGGTTCGATCGCGTAAATATAAATGGTGTCGTTAAACCCGCCACCACCCGACACAGCCAATTGGTAAGGCTTGTCATGTTAACAGAACGTGGCCAATTCGTAACTAGTACAGCACACCGGTGTGTTGGAGAACAAATCCACAACATTTACAATCTGTATAATGCTTCTGCTGACCTGCCCCCTCCTGGACATCTGTGAAAAAGAGCTTCATAGCTCATCGGACTCCTCCGGTATAAATTAAGATTCTGATATTTTCATCGAGCCAGATGGGCGCCGATACAGACTCGTGACCCCGCAGTAGCTTCTTGTGGCGCACGCTTCGCGACGCTTCGTGACGTTTCTCGGGCTGCGTCCACGACTTACTGGAATTTTGATTTAAAGCTTTTGTGACTGCAGGGATTCGTATTCTTGGTTCTTTCGGTAAAGTCACGTAGAAGGGAAACAATAAAATAATAATATAAAACAATACAATTCTCACGACGTTTCGACTGCAACATCAGGTGTGAAAACCATAGCAAGAAAATTTGAAAAAAGTGGCGTTTTTTTTTAACGTTAGCACCACAGAGAGCGATTTGGCTTTCAGACCGCATCCATTATTTTCGTCTCCCCCCTCCTCTTTTCCGAACATAGATGGACTCGTCCATCTGAAAAACTGCCAAATCGCTCTCTGTGGTGCTAACGTTAAAAATAACCGCCACTTTTTTCAAATTTTCTTGCTATGGTTTTCACACCTGATGATGATTGCTTGTGTTGCAGTCAAAACGTCGTGAGAATTTTATTGTTTTATATTTTTATTATTTTATTGTTTCCCTTCTATGTGACTTTATCGAAAGAACAAAGAATGACTTACTGGAAGTTGACCTTGTCCACCTGAAACTTGGTTTCAAAGATCCCCGAAGTCAGAACTCGGCATCGCAGCAGGTCCTGCAACACAACAAGACGTAAACCACACGGCGAATCAGCTGAAGGCAAACCCAAGCGAGGCATGCCTGTGTCCCTGTGGGCACGCGACTCAAAATACATGTTCCTCCTGTAAAACAACCCCCATCTCTTCTCGCTTGCCCCAACTGCTACTCCCTGCCCTGGACCCCCAGCAACGACAAGGCCTACTCCAACCCCTATCACTACCCCTATCACCACCTCAACCCCTATCACCACCTCAACCCCTATCACTACCCCTACTGCTATCACTATCCCGATCACCATACCAACTCCTATAACTACACCAATCACTACCTCTATCACTACCCCAACCTCTATCACGACCCCTAACACTACCCTAACCCCTCCTCCTATCCTTCCGATTCTGATCTTTCACCATAACCCCACTCTTTATTTTAACCACTATCTAATGTACAATTTTGTTATTGTTGTAAAGCGCCTTGGACTAAGGCGCAACATTAACTAAACCCAAAGACAACTAATCAAGTTACAGTATACACAGGTTGTGTGTTGCAGATTGTCTAACATAAATAATAATTTAAAATTACCTTTAATTAAGTTTCATGTGCTCTGCATTATTCTCTTTGTAACATATAATTCGCAATAACTGTAAATTAATATTTGTTGCTGCATGTAACAATTGTGATCCACGACTCATGGCATGACGTTCCAACGCGTAAATTCCATCGACGAATATCGATGGGCGCATGATACGCAAGCGCAATCAATGTTTTTAATTCGTAGACCTTGCATACATTGGCTTCACCCGACGCCTCCACCAGCCACTAGAGGCCGCTACATTTAATAAAATGCAAAAAAAAAACCTAAAACGTGCTTCCTGCCTTGAATCACGACCACAAATGGTGACAATCGATTGAATCGGGAAGAGCAAATCGTTACGACCGTAATGTCTGCTCATAGGTGTGACCCCGCACCTCCGATTACCACGGTTGGCTACGTACGGTGCCAAAGACGTTCAACAAAGGCAAAGACACCCCGTGTAGCCTGAACAGACTGGTGGGGAAAGTGCTGTTAGCGAGCAGCTATGAAGGCCGGCACGGCACACGAGTGAATGGATGGCCAGCACCACGCCCGGCCGCTTTTGTCTCCCCTGTGGTGACGTTTACACACCGCACCAGGTACTCATTTGAGGCCGTGCCGATCTCGGGGAGGCCCAGGACCGATTCAGATAATGTAATCGTCACCGGTGTTGGCCGTGAGCGGGAATAGAACTCGGGTCGCCGGGTTCATGCGTAGCGGCACCAACCGCTACACCACCGCTCCCCGCCACACACAGAGCTGACCTCGAGTCCCGGTGCCACACAGCGCGAGCGGAGACGTGGTGAAGGGGGGCGTTGGGTGAACACCTGCACGGAGTCAAGTCACGTTGTGGCAGGTGCAGAGCGGGGCGGCGGGTTGCTTACCTGGTCGGTGGGCGTGTAGTCGCTCTGCCGCACCGTGTCAATTCTGTCAAGGAAACTATGCGGTGGGGGGGGGGGGCGGTAAACACAAACACAACTCGTCAGGAGCTTTGCTATTATTAGCAATTAGATATCATGTTACAGTAGAAACAAGTTTCGCTGGCTGGATTCCTGACCGACCGCGTGGCCAAGTGCGCGTGTGTGCCGTGGTGACGTCACGCTGCCGACGTCACTCTGGACGACTTGGAAATCAATTTGCAATGTGCCGCAAACAACTGCACGGTTTTTAAGGCTCAAACCCGATTATCATTTTTGTTTTTGGCCCAATTTTGTCCACGTACTTTCGCGTCATTCTGACATTCACAAGAAGCGACGCTGGCTAAGTGTCAGCCATGAATAAAAATAGCATCTATACAGCCACACGCGTTGTTTACAACTTGGGAAATCAAGAGTTCATGTTGTTGACGTTATAGCTTGTGCCCACTCTGCTCCACGTCACAGCCTGGCTCGGTCCAAATCCACCGGCCGGCAACGATCCACCCCATGCCATGCGTTTTCACACCCAACAACAATAAGCTATTCGGTGATGTCGGCGCACGGCGCTTGTGCCAGGCTAGGTGCACTTTGAAGTGTCGAAGCCCCCTCCCGTTGGCAGGGAGGTGACGGAACAGACTCCCAGGTTGACTTGACATTGAGATTGTTTTGATTATTCTGCTGCTATAAATGTCCACATGATAAGCCACTTTGCACCCAGGTCGCTTCTGAAAAATAAATGAATACCTCAGTGTGTTTTGCCTGGTAAGATATAAAAAAACATTGTCTATTTTTAAGTGATTTGTTTACCTTTCCTACAGTTTGCACTCTTATCGTGTTTTTGTATTGTTTGCTCTGACCCACCACGACCGGTCACCTGTGCAAAAAAAGCTTTACAGCTCTTCGGATTTCCTCACGTATAATATAACTATATAAATAATACCCATTCTGACTGCGACCGGCTGAGATAACTGGCGCAAGCGGCGACAATACACTGCCATCTGATTGGACCACCAAAACACACGTGACTCGTCAAACTCCACCTCTCTCCCCCAAGCCCTGCCCATGCAGGAGGAGGAGGCAAAGACCCCAGGCAGCGATGGGAGGGGGCGGCTGGCAGTGGAGGCGGGCGGGGGGAGGCAATTGGCCAACACCCCGGTCACATGACTGCAGCCGAGGGCAGCAGCCAATCACGACGCGGCAGCTCGCTCCGCCGCTATAAATAGCCCCGTGCCCTGACCTTCCCCCGCGTAACCACGGCAACCGGCGGTTCCCTTTCCGCTGCCACGGCAACACGGGGAGGGGAGACGGCGGAGGGGGGTGTGGGGCCGGCCCTGCTCCCCAGTGTTGCCGTGCGGGCTTCTCGCTTCCCCTCCTACGGTACAGTGGGGGGTGGGTGGGGGGGCCGCAATGCTCTCGCGTCCGTCCCAGCGTGCTGCCACCACCACCGCCGCCTCCACCACCACCACCACCGTGGTGGCCACGTTAGCGGGCGAGTCCAGCAGCCGTTCGCAGTGCGGCCGCCGCCACCCCAAACGTTTCGTGATGAAAATGGGTCCCATTGTGGAGGGTTTTTTTTTTATTACCCGCGCTGATGAGGGGGGTTGTTTTTTTTTTGCTTTCAGATACACTGCACTGTAGTACTCGCTTTTGTAACAACTGCCCCCCGTGTTGTTGTTGGGTGTTGTAGTCGTCGTTGCGTCTGAGAGACCCTTTTTGAGGCTTCCACGGTGTTTATCACCTGCTTGAAAATATAACGGGGAGTGTATAAAAAAATATTCTTATTCTATATTTTTGTAGCCACCATACACCCCCTCCCTCACAACGCCTCGAACACAACAAGGCTGCTGCTGTTATCCTAACCGATCGTTTAATCCGGGATACATTTGGGCGATGAAGATTGTATTCCGATTTCTTGAATGAGATTTCATATTTTTTCCTCCCTCTCCCAATATAGTTGTATACGAGCTATAGGTGTGACGATAAATCAATTATGATTAACAATCCTCAAAATAAACGCCATTGCCACACCGCACCGCACGCTGTTAAGAATTCACGGCTTTTAATTGGCGTAAATCGGAAGTTTTCGCGCTAGCAACGGCAGGCTTGTCAAGGCCATCAGGATGGAACCCGCGAACTTCCTGCGTACCAGGCGAGGGAGCTAACATCTCACTCACCACGACGACTCGCGAGACGGGGGAACACGAAGGTTCTCATCGAGAGCGGCGTGCCGATAATCCAGTGGGCTAGCCCGATGTGTTAGTGGTTAATCATCGTCCAGAGGTGTTATCGATCCGGCTACTTTTGTCAATCCACCACCGCTGGATGAGGGGCCTCCTTGGCCGTTGATGTGCCGGTCCGCTGGCATTGGCGATACTGCAATTATCCGCACTGCCAAAAAGAATGTTAATTTATCCCGTCTGAAGGTTATACCCCCCCCCCCCATTCAAACTTTTTTTTGTGTGGATAACAGTGACCCCAGAAGTAGCAGTAGATGTATCTATTGTCTGAGCTTTTGTGTTAATAAGCTACCCGGAGGTGGTCTCCCAGAAGAGCTACATTCTTCCTATTAAGGAGAAAATTTATCCTATTAACCGCAATTGTATGCAGACAAAAGTCACCGGTAGCGGTCTCTCTCCACCAAACCACACTGAGCAGCATGGGTGAAGTATGGCCAAACTTTCCCCATGGCCGAAATGGTGTGGGGAGGCCGTCACACATTACTACGTGGCATTGACCAAACATCCCGACGCGAACAAGTGTCTGCAAATTTACTCAACGAGGATTACTACACACAGTAGCAACGTCGCCCCCGACTGCAAAAAAACTTGGCAGAAACCCTCCTGAAAAAGAGTCTTTGGACTCAGTGAAGAAGCGTTCCTGGGTAAACAATCGTGATGGTAATAATTGCTAATAAGTAAAAAAACGCTTCCAAGAGGTCGTTCCACCGAGTAAATGGATCGATGAGACCAACTGGGGTTGCAGGTGTTCGGTGGATTATTAACATGGTGGAAAGAGGCTCGTGAAGAACGCTGCTATTGGGCAGTCGCCCTCCAGCAACAACGGAGGGCAGAGGAGCGACGCTCATGACAACGAGCGGAGCGCCGGGCGGCTAAAACACAGCAAGTTGGTACAGTAGGGGGCACAGGTGGTGCATCGGCCCAGTCATCTCAGCCAGTCAACCCATGGCATCTTAGTCTGCCCCGTGACCTCCTGCCAGCGAGCGTTCGACACTTCACGTAGCCTTAAAGTGAACGTAGCCTGGCACAAGCGCCGTGGCGACATCATCACCATTCAGTGGCGAATGGCGGTTGTTATTGCATCGCAGAACCGCGACAGATGGGGATGGCTTGGGCAATCAAGGGTCCTAAAACGGAAGTGAATTGGTCGTAGCAAACCGATGGCGATGCTGAAGAAGTACCCAGGAGTACTCACTACTGGGCGCAGTCGATGAGCTGGTACTCGTTGGATCGCTCGTAACACATCCGCACGCCCTCGTCCTGCCAGAGGGCCTTCACGTGGTCGAAAAATTCCTGGGGTGAGGGGTTGGGGACAAGGAGGGGTGACAGGGGTCAGCGTTGACAACACAGGTTCTCGTGCCGACACACGCAGCGCCGTCTTTACGTGCGGATGTTGGCTTCATACGGTGCGCTTATTAGGAGGCCCCGCCCTACCCCCCCCCCCCCCCACAATTTCACCGCGACTCTTGTTCTTGGTCCCCCTCTCTGCATCTCCTCTGTCTTGCTGTGAGCGTCGAAATCCGCAGCCGGGAGTAAAACGAGCAGTCGGTGGGGTCCAGCAACGCACCCGGGCCGCACAACAACAGCCGCCATTCGGCACTAAGTGGCGATGGATGTCACCACAGCACTGTGCCAGGCAAGGTACGCTTTGAAGTGTCGGAGGTTCGCTGACAGGTCATGGGACAGACCCAGGGGTTGACTCAGATGACTGGCAGATGCATCCCATGTGCTCCCTACTGTGTGAACTGGCCGCACAAAGACAAAGATCCCCAGTATAGCCTTCACAGACATTTGGGACAAGTGCTGTTGGAGAGCACCGATGAAGTCTGCAATGGCACACGAAGGGGTGGGCATGGCCAAAACCATTCCCAGCTGCCTTTGTATCTCCATGCTGATGTTTACACAAACACACCGGGTATTATTTTTTTAAGACCGAGTCAAACTAGACCCAGAACTGGTTCAGATAATCGTCACCGGTGCTGGGCCATGAGGTGGGTACCGAACCCAGGTCGCAGGGTTCGTAGCGCAATGCGCTCACCACTGCGCTCCTACCGCTCCCCATACTACACGCACACACAACAGACAACCGCCATTTGCCACTAAGTAGCGGTGATGTCACAACGACGCTTGTGCCAGGCTACGTGCACGTTGAGGCCATGTGCAGTGTCGAACGCCCGCTGGCAGGTCACGGGGCAGGCCCAGCAGTAGCCACGGGTCGACTGACTGAGATGACTGGCTGATGCACCACCTGTACCCCCTACTGTGCCAACTTGCTGTGCTTTAGCCACCCGGGCGCTCCGCTCGTTGTGAGCGTCGCTCCTCTGCCCTCCGTTGTTGTTGGAGGGCGACTGCCTCCAACTGCCCTGTAGCGTCCTTCACGAGCCTCCTTCACAGAGGCTGATCTTGACACCGCTGGTACCAGTCATCGGCAAGTCCACCCACCAGCTCCACATCCTCCTGTACCACATCACTCCATCTGTTCTCTAGACCGTGCCGCGCCCGTTTAGCCCCCTCTATCCGGCCGAACAAAAGCTGTTTAGGCATGCGGTGTCTGGGCATGTCGGCTACATGACCCAGCCAATGCAACCTTGTCTGCCGGAGGAGCTCACCGATGGGACTTTGTCCAGATTTTTCAAGGATTTGTGAGCTCACACAATCCAGCCTGGTTAAACCCAGGATGGATCGTAGGCAGGCCAGCCTAAATGTTTCTAACCGGCGAAGATGTTGCATTAGGGGGGTCCACGTTTCGCAAGCGTAGAGAAGGGAGGGAATGACCGTGGCCAAGAAGACCTGAAGCCTCGTGCGGAGCGACAGAACAGGTAGCTTCCACACAGCATTGCGCAATCGATTAAAAGATATTGCCGCTCAACTGATTCGGAGTGAGACTTCTGCTGTCAACCCGGAGCCGATCTTGAGCACACTGCCCAGGTATGGGAAACTCCACTCTATCCACAACTGCCCCATCACCAATTGGGAGTTGTGGGAGTGGAATGTCCGATGGTACAATATACCCAGGCAAGTGCTTAGTTTTGGTGGGGCTGATGGTAAGGCTCCACCTCTGAGTGGCACGCTCCAGGTTCAGCAGCAGCGCTTCCAACTCCTCCTCTGATTGAGCGGCAATTACCAGATCATCGGCATACATAACATGGTTGAGCAATAGGGAGCCATCCCTTGACCGCACCCAGGCATCGATCAGCCTCCCATTGTATCTGTACCAGATGGAAATTCCTCCGGTACAGTCAAAGGCTTCACGAACTACGTGGTCGAAATAAATGTTGAATAATGTGGGAGCCAGAGGACATCCCTGTCGCACCCCAAGGTGTACAGGGAATGGCTCCGACTCCAGGCCAAGTGAGCGGGCCCGCTCACCATCATGAAGGTCCTTAATGATCGTGAGCAGAGGGTCAGGGACTCCGAAAGCACAAAGAATAACCCAGAGCCCAGGCCTACTGATGGTATCATAGGCCTTGACCAGGTCAATAAAGCAGAGATGTAGGTCTTGTTGGAATTCCCTACACCTCTGCTGTAGCAGACAGACAAAATATGGCATTTGTGCAGGACCACCCTTTCTTGAAACCACATTGGGGCTCCACAAGCCTCTCCTCAGCGTGCCTGGCAAGGCAATGTTGAATAATCCTTGCCAGGATCTTTCTCGGCACACTGAGGAATGAGATGCATCCTTCCAATCCTGCGGAACCCATCCAGTGGTCCAGACTGTTGTTATGATGTCATTTAGGGCAGTCTGTGCACAAACGCCATCCTCCCTCAGCATTTTGCTTGGCAGATCATCTCTGCCCGGTGCCTTTCCTGATCTCAGGATCTGGATCGCCTTCAGTAACTCCTCAACAGATGGCACCCCGGCCAGCCACTCACAGGGGTTGACTTCTTCCCATATTTGAGGCACCGCAGCCTCAGCAGGGTCAACCTCACTTTGTCCCATGATGTTTTCCAGGCTGAGGGATTTCCCCTCCCCCAGGACATCACAGAAATGCTCAGCAAATCTGCAAACTGGTTCCTGGGGGTCGGAGATTGGATCACCATTCTTTCCCTTAATGATGGTAATAGGTGTGGCGCTGCAGATTATTTTTTTGATGGCATTAAAGAGCTATTTGTGATCGTGGGCCATTGAGGCAGACTCCATCTCCTCAGCAACCCGCGACCACCAACCATCCTTGCAGCGCCTCACGGCTCTCCGAATCCCCGAGCGAAGGCTGCAGTAAGCCTCCTCATTCTCTGTCGTGGGATGCTGAAAACGATGAGAGTGGGCCTGTCGCTATTTCTCAGCCAGCCTGAACACCTCCTCTGTCAGCCAGGGTCTCTGGGGAGGTCTGGACCATGTTCCCAAAGCAGCCATTGCAGCTGCATGAGCCACAGTCCTAAACATCGCCCATTTCCCCTTGACATCAGGAGTGGAGGACGATGCCAACCCCAGCCGCAAGCGATGATGAAATTCTCGCTTGCAACTTTCATCAGCTAGTTGACACCAGGTCACTTTGGGTTTGAATGGGGTCCTGGGTGTACACCCAACACTGGAGTGGAAGAATGGCAGGCACATCTTAGAGATGACAAGTCGATGGTCAGTGGGCAGATCAGCTCCACGGTAGGTCCTGGTATCAAGGACATGGGTCCGCATCCGGAACAGCGTGTTGGTAATTACAAGCCCATGGGCTGCACAAAAATCTAGCAGCCTCCTACCGTTGTTATTGAGCTGATCTGGCCCATGTCTTCCAATCACTCCAGACCAGGTGCTAGCATCATGACCAACTCGGGCATTGAAGTTACCCAACAAAATGACTCTATCCCGAGGGGCCACTGGAGCCAGCACCTGTGACAAGAGGTCATAGAAGGCATCTGTCTCATTGGCCTTGCCTGTACCCCTCCACAGATGTTCGTCTGCGGTGAGGGCATAAGTAACCACGACCACCACTCCTCGCCTCTGGTTGATGGGAAGGCGAGCGCAAAGTAGTCTGGGGCTTACAGCTTCCTACACCTCACCGCCACGCTCCCACGCCCCCTTCATTCTTTTGTTCAGAAGAAGATCCACTCCCTGTTGTTTGGCAGTCTCCTGCCCCGCGTCGAGGACTGTCCACCTCTCATGGTGACAGGAGCCAGAGCCAGTCCACCGGACCTCCTGAATACCACAGAGATCCAGGCGGTACCGGTCCAGCTCCCGAGAGAGGAGTGGCAGCCTCTCCTCCGCAGTGAGCGTTCGAACATTCCACGTGGCCTTCCGAAGTGTTTTTTTGTTGTTTCTGGAGGAGCCCCGAGGGTAAGGATTCAGTCTCCTGGCTCCACCAAATGGGGTTTGGCCAGGAGACGTCATAAATGCCTGTCCCCCCGGGGCCTCCGGCACAAGCGTAATACGTTTTTTACATCGTAGTTTAGTGGTAGTTAATTGAAGGTGGAGGGGTTACCAACCCCTCGCACCCATTCAGAGCCCCAATTTGGCCACTGGTGGTTACAAACTCCATGAAGGGAAAGGCCAATCTAAATTGGCCCTCTCCCCACGGCACTGCCCACCACAGCATTGCCATCCAGCACCACGAGGAGGTAGGGGGTTGTTTTTGCCGGACTGCAGACACACACGCACAGACACACACACACAGACACGGGAGCAAATAACAAGCCATTGAGGTTCATGCATGGGTTCATATCACAAACACTGCCGACCTTGTCCTTGTGGTAGTTTTGTGCCTCTGCCACAAAGCCAGAGGTTTTACAGTTCCACGAACTGGCACATGAAGTTGTGTCAGCCGCTACTCCTCACACGCACACACATTATTTTATATATAAAACGCATACTGCGGAAAAATCACACCACGCACGCGATGATTCACTGCCACCTTCCCCACAAACTCCGAAATTCGATTAATTGCCACGATTCATGGGAGCCGTGATTTAATTTATAAATTCTCCCGATTGTTATCTCGATCCCACCACCAATTCCTATCTCGTACGTCCCATCTCATCTGCGCCGTTACGTTGGCTCCGTTAGTCTAAATGTGACAGGGATGTGTAATTCCGTTGCGATTTACGGGAATCGTAAATAACCGATTCACCCACGCGCGATGCGTCTATCTTCGGCATCGGAATCGATTTTAATGGATTCCGATGCATCGTTACATGGCTATTTTAAGTACGCATTTGCGCGCGTACAAAGAGAAAGGTTCTCCGTTTAATCATATATAGACTGTTGGCGCAAGTGTTATAATAAAAAAACCCTCTGTCGCAGGACAAATATGTCGTTGGCAACATGAATAGTGCCAATATTTATCTTGTGCTGATACGCCAAT